ACTCATGGCTGGCTGGGGAATTCTGGGAGTTGAAGTCCACTCATCTTAAAGGGGCCAAGTTTGGACAACACTGACCTAGGTGTACAACCAGAAAAGAAGCAGCAGCTCCGGTAGTCTTCCTTTCCTGCCCCCCCCAGCCCCCCAAATGTGGCCTGAAAAGAACTGTAGCCACTGGGAACAAAGTTGTAGTTTCTAAATGATGGTAATTCAACAGGAATAAATTTTTCAGCCTCAAAAATGCAAGGATAAGTCAATCTCAGTCTCATGCGGTTTGCACTCTTTACACGTAGAGGCACTTAGTGAAATCTTGGTGCAGACTCAAAGGAATGACTTTGAGGAGTATGAGACTTTGCAAAGCAAGTTGCAAATCTCAGGAAGTTATAAAGCATGGTGTTATAAAGCACTGCAAAAATCCTGAAGGGGGTGGGTGGTTCAGCTCCCATAGGTTTTCTGTAGAAGCATCATATCCCCCTTCTGTCATGCATCCTCCTCCCCCATTTGTTCTGACTGGCAGTCATGTAGGCGTTTTAAGAGCAAATCTTGCAGAGTCAGAAGGGGTGTGGTGGGGGTGCTTGAGCTTGGGCAGTGTTTCTCAACCCTGGCAACTTGAAGATGTGTGGACTTCATCTCCCAGAATTCCCCAGCCAACATGCTAGCTGGGGAATCCTGGAGTTGAAGTCCACACATCTTCAAGCTGCCAAGGTTGAGAAACACTGAGCTTGGATGAAACTGAGGCAAACAGGAGAAGCAACAGGAAAAGACTGAAGCACGAAGCCAGATGCCAGCAATAAATCTCTTCTCTTTCTGAGCACTCACAACTGAAGCTCTTTGGAGAGACAGCAATCACCTAGCCACTTATGAACCACACATCTTAACAGAGCACAGGACTCCCCCCACTTTTCAAGCTTGCAACCAATTAATTCACACACTTTCCCGAACACAATTTCTTAAGGACCACCCAAACGTTTTCCATGACAGTCATTAGTTTCATTCAGTTCAACAGGAACATGCTTTACCCATTGTTTTCCTAATGTATTCAATAACAAAAAGAAAAAGAAGAAGAGGTAAAATCCCAGGTTAATGAAAACACACACTCTTTCACCCAAGTCCCAACAAGCACAGCCCACCAGGGCACATACAGTCTTCAGTCCAAGGAATGTGGCCTTGGACATGCAGAGACCACCAAGTGACCCATCTTGAAACTAGACCAGATCAGAAGCTGGCCACTTGGTGACAATTGCACATCAGGTAGTAAAACCTATCTAGCCCATCAGTGACAACAACTAATGAGAACCCAACTGAAGTGGAGACTAAAAAGGACTGCTATAAAAAAGGAGGGTTGGACAAGGAGCAGGTTGAAAGACGCTCCATGTCTACATATCCATTGGGATTGCAATCTAATTTATTTACTCCTCTCTGATTTCTTAACCTTTTACTCTGGTGAGGTTGGTGACTATGTGAGAGTGCAAGGTGTACGCATATCATAACTAATAAAGCCAGGAGATTAACAAAGGTTCTTTTGTGTGCTATGTGTCATTTAGTGTGAGTCACTTGCCTGTACAAGTTTCCAAAAGTGTTGACATCTCTCTGAAAGGTATATGAATATGTTCCCTACCCAAACCACTGACTAGGGCTGCATTTGGAGCATGGGACATTGCAAGTGCGCAAAGCTGGTTCTGTGTGCCTCAGTGGCTGGTGTAAGGAAGAAGATTTGACTATAAGTGAGATATAATACCTTGGTAGGGTTATAACTTGGGTTTGTGAGACAATGTTCTGCCCATTTTTCTTCTGGGTCAGATCTTCATTAGACTACTTCAGCTTTGCCAATGTGCCCATGATCAATTGGAGGAATTCAGGAATGTCCTTTAGTATAAATCATTTGGCGCCAATCCCTTTACAAGAAACTGGGAAAAGTACGATTGCATCAGAAGCACATCAATATAAGATCATATTTACACCTGGAAGCAGTTAGAAGTATGGAGGTACAGTATGGATTTTTATATCTTCACATCTGTACTAAAGCATTGAGAAACTAAATCCACTGTCTAGTCTAATATTCTTAAAGACTGAGATTTTTAATTGGCCTTTTAAAAAATATATGCTTATAGTTATTTTGCCTCATATTTAACTTGTTTTTTTTAATTGATTTTGTTATTTTAACTTTCTTTCTATTGTAATTTAATTTTATTTCTCTCTCTCTGTCTTGTTTATACCTACGCTGAAAAACTAGTTTATGTTACACTGCAAATAAATAAATCAATAAGTTTTTTTCCAAGAAAATAATTAATGGCTTAGCCTCATCACAATGATTAGCTAATGAAATTATATAAGATGGCTTCAATTAACAGTCGCTTCTAACTTTCCCCCTCCCCTTTCTGTGACTTAAGTGTGCAGGAAGACAACATAGAGCACATCAGAGTGGCATAATTTCAATGCCTCACTTTGCACCTGACCTATTTTACTAATATATATATTGCAGGATTTGGATAAATATTTTCATATACATTTATAAAAATTAATAGTTTTATCACCTCTTTTAAAACTATGTTGTTATAAGCATGTATGAAAATATTTACATCCTGCAAAAGCCTGAGCTTGCAATCCCATGGGGCCTAGATCACTGGCTGGGGAATTCTGGGAGTTGAAGCCCACACATCTTAAGTTGCCAAGTTTGCAAAACACTGGCCTAGATGATGCTCTTCTTAATCCATCAGGGAAATATGCACATTCTGACTCTACTTTCCAGGCAGCAAATCTAAAAATCTACCTTCCTGCCCCTCCCAGATTCTACATGCTACACCCTCCGGTTTTTCCAGGAGTGATATTTGGCCGTGTTTTTTACTGCCGTGCCTCCTCTTGAGCTGCCTTGGCCCCTCTGGGCTTCAGTCCTGAGGGACTCCCTCATTTGGATCCACTTCTCTGCCGCTCCCCACTTTTTCCTTTCCCCCTGTATTTCTGTGTCTCCTCTTAAGAGCGTCCCCTCCGAATCCTCCCTGCTTGTCAGGGAGGACAGCCTGGTTTTGCTTCCCTGGATGAAACAGGGACAAAGCCGGTTGTTCTGGCAACCACAGGCCACACCCCCGCTTCCATCGTTGCCTTGGCGACAGCAGCAGCTGACTCCCTCTGGCTGGCACCCACACCTTGCCGCCCCTGCCTGGGCTTTCCCACGGTCGCCGGGCACCTCTGTCCATCCGCCACAGTTGCCGTGGCACCCAGGGCCATGGTAACAGCAGCCATATTCCCCCGCCTCACTGCCCCCATAGCCTTGAGAGCCTGGCCTTGCCTTCTCGGAGCCTGTGCAAAAACCACAGGCCTGACAGCAGTGTGTGGACAAGTAGCCGATAGAGACGGCGACGTTGGCTGCTGAGCAGAAGGCCAACACCCAGAGGATGGCCTGCTTGTCTCTGAGGCCCGTAACGACGCATTGGGCTGAGGAGGGACAGGCTGGGTTGTTAGGGTAGCAAGTTGTGACCCCTAGGCTTATGATGGGTAACTGAAGGCCCAGAAGTGTCCAGATGAAGGCTACGTCTATTGCCAGAACGAAGGCGAGGCAGAACATGTAGATGCCGTATCTCCAGCCCCCAAAGTGAGGCTCGTCCTCGGCCACTTTGGCCCCCGTGGCGGGCTTGGATTCTGTGGCAGCTTCGGGGTCCTTGGCTGTGGGGCTTTTCTTTGTAACATAAACAAACTTCAGGAGGGCTATGGTGAATATGATGGCAATGAAGTGGAAAACCCAGAAGCCCGAAATGGGGACAGGGAAGCGCTGGTTATAGCAGAGGCCTGAACAGAACGTCTTTGCGTCCCCAAGGTCGGAGGGCCAACGGCAAATCAGGTCATTCTTGAGGCTGTCCCAAGGCCCATAAGCAAAAAAGAGAGTCACCATGCGAAGGCCAATAAGGAAGTAAAATGGGTTTGTGCCCCGGCATATCTTCTCCGCTGCGAGTATTCCAATTGTCGGCTGAAAGAGCCGGGAAATGCCACCAATCACAGTAGCCATCTGCACCAGCAGAAAGTGAAGAAGGAAACATATGGAAGATAAGTGATTAGAAATTAAAACAGCTTTAAAAAAAGACTATCCTGCTTAGGCCTGATCCCTTTTTTAATGCTCTTTTTCTCCATTTTTCTTCCTCTGTGATGAGATTTATACACTGCATTAAGTTGTGTATAACTTAACTTTTTGTCAAATAAGCCACCACTAGCTAGGTGGTATGGCTTATTAAGCTGTGATGTACAAGCCACAATATCAGGATTCATCCAGCATGCCAAAGCCAAACCAAACAGAGCATGTTATGATTGAACAAAAGGCATAAACAGTTGTAATTTTTCTTAATGCTGAACTTCCTGTCCTTGGATTCTTCCTTTATGCCCTATCCCTGTTTCCTATTACCTCTTTTTTCTCCCCCTCAGTTTAGCTTTTCTCCCCATTATTTTCTTATATATTTGATGTTTTATGCTTGAGCCTTAAAAATGGTCTTTGAAAGAGTAAACAGTTTGTTGAAGTATGTCTGTTATATCTTAGAATGCATTTGTCTGAGAATGGAATTTTAATTAAAGCAAATCTATGCTTTAGCAGTTTAGTGTAGTGTTAAGGCACCAGGCTAGAAACCGGGAGACCATGAGTTCCAGTCCTGCCTAGTCACAAAGCCAGCTGGGTGACCTTGAGCCAGTCACTTTCTCTCAGCCCTAGGAAGGAGGCAAGGGCAAACCACTTCTGAAAAACCTTGCCAAGAAAACTGCAGGGACTTGTCCAGGCAGCCTCCAAGAATTGGACACAATTCAATGGATTTTTAAACAAATGTTTTAGGTATATTTGATGTACACATTAATAATCCCTTTCAAATTAGAGGAAATGCAAACAGAAAACCAATGAGATATAATAATTAAAAAGTTAGCTTAAGACTGGGGAAACCCCTCTTTCAGATGTTGGCTAATCTTCAAAGTTTATTGGTGCTGCCAGAGTGCACAGCTCAGAGCAAGGAGCAGTATGCTATGAGTCCCTCCCTAACTCAAACAAAAATTTTCCTAGGATTGCCCAGCTACTGTACTGTGCAAGCCCAAGAAACTAACCAATTATTTAAGGAGATGGAGACAACTGTGAGCATCTTCAGATCCAAATGCTACACACGTGTAGACACACCTACCATTAGCTGCTGCTGTCATCCTACAGTGTCTGTTTTGAGACTGAGAGACAGGTCCTCACTTATACCCAACCATGGCACGTGGTAAAATATTTTTTCTCCCATATCCCTATTTATTTATTTAAAACCTTTTATGTGGCTGGTCACAGTCATGGCAGTGACTCTGGGCAGCATACAAGAAGGTAAAACCAAGCAGCAAAAACCTGTACAACTAGTAATCCACACAAGCAAAATCCAAGAACAAGAAGAATCATTCCCAATTTATGACAAAAAAGCAGAAATAAAACCAATCAAGCAATTAATCAGCAGGAGAGCCAGCCTTTGAGTACCTTACAAAAGCCTAACTGGCGGGGGGGGAGGGATAGGAGGGAGGGAAGGAGCAACTGGCTCTCCTTCACCTTGTCTACAGTCTTACATTGTCCTTAGCTGTTCCAGTGTACTTTCCTCTTTATTCCAACAGCATCATAAAACAAATTCAGGGTAGGTAAATGTGCTAGACTTTGCCGCCCATTACCTTAGAGCAGCGTTTTTCAACCTTGGCAACTGAAGATGTGTGGACTTCAGTTCCCAGAATTCCCCAGCCAGAAGTCAGATCATTGCAGTCATTAGGAAGGGAGACTATAGAAGCAGGGTAAGGATTGGCAAAGGGGTATTGCTTTCTGCTGATTCAAGGAGGGGCAGAAAACACTTCAGCAAAGCTATGAGGAAAAGCTCTGACTTTGAACTGCAGACTGCCCAACTGAAACAGCTGGCCTAATCTCTAGATGTTATGGTTGTTGTTATTGTTACTGTTACTTCTCTGTTTGTTTGGTTTTTTTTCATTTTGCCTAGGGAAGAGCTCTGGAGAACTCAAAAGCGTGCATATCAGGCCAAATAAAGATATTATTAACTCTGCATTTCCTCTGACCCATAGATCAACAGGAACATGGTTATGTTTATATGCCTATTTCATAAAGTTGTTTTGAGGAGATGAAGCAAGGGTGTGCTACAAGATTACAAATTAAATATAAGAATTAAATATAAAAATGAGTGTCTGTACTTTACAGTAGAAAACTCTATGAGCTATTACTCACTCCTTGCTTTAGGGCTTATATGACACTCCAAACATGCACAGTTCTGAATAACTAATATTCCCTGATCCAATAACAAGATTAAAAATAAAACAACATAATAACAATTATATCAAAATACAATGAACAGCATGCAATAAGAACCAGAAATGCTCATGGCAGGAGAGAATAAACTGTGATCTTAACTCCAAAGGCCTTCTAAAAAAACTCCCAAACTTCATGACTTTTTGAAAACCTAGCAGGAGTGCGGATGTCTGATGTTTGGGAGTGTTGTTTCAGAAGCTTCCATGGGCAGCTTCCATGATCCCTGCTAAAAACACTCCTTAAAGAAAGGAGCTGGAGGGAGACTTCTTTTCCAGATCTTATTGAGCAGGCAAATAGTAAGGGTATTCTTGAAGCTTCCCAGGTCCTGAGACAATTTCAATTTCAATTCATGTATTAAGATCAGAATGAATCTGAAGTAGTCTTCCCCTTGGTTGTGCTTTCCAGATGTTTTGAGCTTACAAGTCCCAGAACTCCAAGTCAGCATAATTAAAAGCCACTATGAATAAAACATATTATAATGCTATGTAGTATTTTAAAAGTTGAGAAAAATGAAATATATGAAGCTTTCAGGCTGAATGGCCATGGTCTAGTTTTCTGGGGCCTGCTTTGCGCCAGCAGTTGTGGCTGGCATCTTAGGCGGTTTACCCTGCCTCTGAAGATGCCAGCCGCAGCTGCTGGGGAAACATCAGGACCCCAGAAAACTAGATCACAGCCTTTCAGCCTGAAAGCTTCATATATTTCATTTTTCTCAACTTTTAAAATACTACATAGCATTATAATATGTTTTATTCATAGTGGCTTTTA